AATCGGGCTTGTTTCTTATACCACTATTCGCTATACTTTAACTACTGTATATACTCGTATAATTTATAAATTTCACTGAAACATTAAAATTTTGATATAACATGATCTATCTAGTCAATTCTTATATCAATTTTACAAATCAAGATTTAGATAACATTATCGGTAAATCGCACGTAACCTTAACGTCTTCTGAGTTTCACACCTTCGGTGACGCGGTCCGTGCGCGCTATGTGTTAAGATGGTGATTTTAGTGGTTAATAATGTGTTGTAAATAATATGGAAATGTCCTTAATTCTTGGTACGTATTTTACTTTAAATTTAATAAAAAAATTAATAAGACATCGCCTCGCAAAGTTTTTCTTAATTTTGATGTGATACTTGGTAGTCAGTAGTAGAAGAACTGTGTTCTTGCAGATTACGAGCATAAAATAACAGCACATCTTTTTGCGAGTAACGAGGCATTTATTAGTCCTCATGGATAACAACACATCTGCATTTTATTTCGTTATCGACAATGGTACCTAATACTTAATAAATTTAATTCTATTTATTGAAACCAAAAATAATGAAAGAAAAAGAATAAGTGAATACGATTACCCTCTTTGACCGAGATTTGAACCGGTGGTGATAGTTTACTAAAATAGTAAACTATCACCACCGGTATCCATATTGTAACGATTGAGTGTTAATAAATTCCATTCGGTAATGTTGAAAACACCAACTTGCTAAGTATGAAAATCCTATTTGAAACGTTGTTAACAATGTTAATCGTGAACTTTTTCCGTGTGAATTAATACGTAGATATTTTTATACAAAGTTATATCCGAGTTTTTAGTGTTTAAAAATCATTTTCAACGTAGATATGACCAGCTGACTCGGCGAACGTTGTTCTGTCTTTTTTAACCCCCGACGCAAACAGAGGCGTGTTATGTGTTATATGTGTGTATCTGTGTCTGTCTGTTGCATCGTATCCCCCAAGCGGATGAACCGATTTAAATTTAGTTATTTTTTTATTTCAAAGAGGACTTGATCGAGAGTGTTCTCAGCTATGATTCAATAATAATTGTCAGTCGTTTGAGGACTGCTATTTTGTTTCGGGGGGTTTATTAAATTTTAAATTTGTTTTTATATATTAAGAAAAAAATGGATGGATGCATCAGAATTACTAAATTCGAACATCCAAACCAACAACAATTATTTGTAGTCCATTTTTTTCATAAGGGTGAAAAATGAGCACACAGTTAACCTAATGATAAGTGGTTGCTGTGGTCCATAAACATCTCGTCTATCCTCGATTACGAATCAAAATGCGGATGCGTTGTCACCCGTGAGGACTAAGATGAAATGCCTCGTTTCCAGTAAAAAGGGTCTCCGATTCTCTACACTCACCATACGAAACACAGAAGTATTAAGCTGCTATTTTATGCTAGTATTCTGTGAGAGCGTGATCCTTCCCTGGCCGAATCGACCCATTCATGCTACAACTATACTACTAATATAACTGCAGCATGGCTCTATCATGTATAAAAAGAGCACAAATAAAAACCATACAAATACTTGTTCCGTGCGGGATTCGAACCCGCGGCCCCCAGTTCTGCAACTCTTTGCTAAGCCATTGGGCCATGGAGATGTCAATTTAAGTTAATATATAAAAATTTAAGTCAATTTAAGTTATTATAATTTGCGTTCACTTGTAAATTTTTACTGTGTACATATAAAATGTATTAAGAACACAAACGCAGCACCAGCTGGGTCCAGATTTTGTAATTTTATTTTTGGGCATTTTTGGGTTTTAGGACAAGGAAGTGTCGCCGCGCTGCCCCAATGCGTGTTAGCTAACTTCACATGTCTTCGAAATATTTTTTTCTCTTATTCCTCAGATATGCAGGTTTCCTCACGATGTTTCCCGTCACCGCCGAGCACGTGGTAAATCAGCACTTAAAATTGCAATTAACAATTTCATTGGTGCTGGCGGGGATAGAACCCGGGTTACTTGCGTTCTGTTATATTTACAGCGAGCGTTAACCATCTGAGCTACCACGGCTCTTCTACGCATATTTATACACATATGTAGACACATATGTACACATATGTATCTAGATGCATATGTTATCTACAACACTCTACCTAATGATTTCTTATATTTACGCGAACACTACACATTGATTAAAACTAATTTTACGGATTTTATCGCGTTTATTTTACTATTATTTTTTGTTGCGATGGGCTCACCTGTATCTCCCATTGTCGCCGATATATTCATGGAAGACTTTGAGGAGAAAGCCCTCCTTACTGCACCTGTTACACCAAGAATCTACAAGCGGTACGTAGACGATACTTTCACAATTTTACCATCAGACAAAGTAACGCTAAAAAGCATTTTTAGAACATCTTAATTCCATAAACTCTAAAATTCAATTTACTATGGAGTTAGAGGCAAATAATTCCTTACCTTTCCTAGATGTGTTAGTCATCCGAAATCCTAACAACACCATTGGTCACACTGTGTATAGGAAAAAGACCCATACAAACCGACATTTAAACGGTGAATCTCACCACCATCCTACACAGTTAGCTACCGTGGGTAAATCTTTGTTACAGAGAGCACGAGGGATCTGTGACAGCAAACACCTGGCCGCCAAGCTTCAGCACGTCAAGCAAGTTCTGCACGACAACAAGCTTCGGGTCCCGCGCCTACGTCACAGTGACCGAGTGAAGCCGGCCACAGTCGAGCGTGTGCCTGCTGTACTACCATATGTTAGAGGTGTCACAGACAAGATTGGCTACATCTTGAAGCGAGCTTCTATTAGAACATTCTACAAGCCGCCGAAGAAGATTGGTCAGTTCCTACCATCAGTCAAGTGTCATATTCCTCTACAAGATGCAGGAGTATACAAGCTTGATTGTGAATGTGGTCTCTCTTATATAGGACAAACAAAAAGATCAATTAGAACCCGCGTAAAAGAACATATAGCTGATGTGAAGCATCAACGTTCTGGGAAGTCTGCAGTTTGCGATCAAATCCTAGACGGCCCCAACCATTACATCAGATTTGATAGACCACAAATCCTCGCGAAAGAACACCGATTCCTACCAAGGATGATACGTGAGGCTATTGAAATTAAAAAAACATCCTAATTTCAATAGAGAAGGAGGCTGGGTACTACAACCTGCTTGGGATCCTATAATTAACAAAATTAAAACTAAACCCAAGCATACCACTGCAAGACCTCAGGACATAGTCAGTTCATTTTGCATAGATCGGACCGTAAACAATAATTAAAAAAAAAACTGAAGGTAATCCGGGTTTAACAATGACATCGGGACGTCAGTCATCTCAGTCCCCCGTGACCATGGGTGCTGGAAAGCGCCCGAAACGTCGGGAATTAAAAATAATAGTAAAATAAACGCGATAAAATCCGTAAAAGTAGTTTTAATCAACACTCTACCTAATCGTACCTATCATAGAATAACTATAAACTAGCCTCTTGACCAAAAAAATGTATTGTGTGAACATGACCTCAATCGGACCAACGAATAAGTACGAGTAAATAAAGATTGATAGAAATAAAATCTGCGTAAATAATAATGAAAACTTAAACAGCGTACTATTAGCCGTACATGTCTATAAATAAGATTATCATAACCACTTATCATTATCTTTGTTTAGAACGTCATCACATCAGTTTACAAATTTTAAACAATAAGGTACTGTCTGCTTTCTGTTAGTGAATATAATTGAAATACTTTGTGACAGTTTGCTTATCAATTAATGCTACTCCTCGTCTGAGCCTCCTCTGTTCGAGCTTGGAGCGAAGTAGAACATGTAGCGAATATTAAAACACGCGCTCCTGTAAGTGTCTGGAGTGTCGCCTTTTAATATGCCAGTGGACGATAATAAAAGACGGAAGCATTCCTTAAAAATTAATTGATCTGTGGTAGACGGGGCTTGCTAACTGCGCTGCGAACAAATTGAAATGTTTGTTATAATTTTATCAGTATCATGATAGTGTGACGTGTTCGTATACAATCCATAATTATTCATAATTTGAATCGCATCATAATTTCGTAATACATAAAACGTGAAAAATCTTTTATTCTTCCGAAAAAATACTTTATTAGATACGAGTACATGTTAGTGAATATTTAGTAGGATGTTGAGTGTCTTTATTATGTGTTTTTTGATATCTTTGTTATTTTTAACAAATTGAAATATCGGCCAATCGGTTTTTTCATTTATAGGTTCAGTACCGGTTTTTCAGTATCGGTTTTTTTAAATTTATAGTTAGAAAAGTTTTTTTAATTTAGATAATTAGATAATATAGAAAATAAAAATACGGATTAGAGCGAAAAGGGAGTAAAGAACTCTGTAGGTAGCTCCTAAAATATTATCACCAAATAAAAAACATGTTCAATAATAATGTGTATTTTGAACCCGAGAAGTGCAGCATCCACAAACAATTATTTCAGCACGATAGTAGGCTCTCCGTAGTTAAATCATTCATTTGAATACTACTAACATACATTATAATGCAAATAGATAAAAAGGTATTGATTAAAACAATTTTTTAAGGATTTTATAGCGTTTTTTATTTCAAAGTAATTTACATGTTCTTTTGCGCATTAGCTTATCTTTATTAAATAAAATGTTATATCTACATTAAAAACAAGGAAACACCTTAACTTTATGTCAAATTTTTTTTGTAACGTGGATCAATTTTATCTCAGGAACACGTGGTTTGTAATACCATATGGACGTATATTTAGATAAGACCTTGAACGGGCGCTGCTAGAGCAAACATGAGTGATTAGTCTGTTTTTCCTTAGTCACAATACAAGATAGCGTCTATTATGTTAAGCGTACAAAAAGTTCATTTACCGCATCGCTTACGGATAAAATATTAATTAAGTGTTAAAGTTTATAATGTGTGAATTATTTCTACGAGAAGTCGAAAGTTAAGTGTGGTGAATTGATAATACGTGTATATAAAGACTTCAAAATGTGCACGAAAAGTCTTTCTGTGTTATTCAGTAAAGGCAAGTTGCTTGTACCACTTGTACCTAGTTTTTAGTAACAATTTAGTATTACAAGGCTAAAATTATATTTCATATAGAACGAGAGTACAGTACATATGATGGTAAGTTGATAGTGTGGCCCATATACACCTACCATCTATTCTCGATTAAAAATAAAAATTTAGATCAGTTGGTATCCCTAAGGACTAAGATAGAATGCCCTATTACAGTGTTGACTTTTTTCTTCGTTGCCTTGAACCTTTTATCTATATTAGAAACTGCTAAAATCTGTATTAAATCTGTAAGCTGTTTAAACTTAAAATCTGTATAATATAATAAACCAAAATAGAATAATTAATCATCATCATTGCTTCTTTAGAAAAACAAGGAGTAAACTACTAACGTGATAAGCTGATAAAGTTTGATTATCGTTATTAAATAAAAATATTTTTTTTATAGAATAAGGGTGACAAACGAGCACACAGTACACCGATGGTAAGTGGATGCTGTGGGCCATAGACATCTACATTTATCCTCGATAACGCAGATAGCGTTTTGATTCTTAATCGTTGTCACGCCTGAGGACTAAGATGGAATGCCTCGTTTCCAGTAAAAAAGGGTCTCCGGATTTATACACTCACCATACGAAGCACAGCAGTATTAAGCTGGTATATTACGCCGGTATTCTGTGAGACCGTGGTCCTTCCCCGGTCGAGCTGACTCATTCGTGCTGCAACCATAATATAGCTGCAGTGTGACTATACTAAGCATAAAATATACACAAAATTTTTTATATAGCAAAATTGAAAACATTAATTTAGCAAACAACGTAGTACAACTTAAACATTTGCAACAAACGAACATATAATTATTAAAATAATACTAGTTTTTACGGAATTTATCGCGTATATTTAACTTTTTAAATACCCGACGTTTCGAGAGCTTTACAGCACCCATGGTCACGGGAAGGACTGAGATGTTCAACGTCCAGATGTCATAGTTAACCGCGGTTACCATAGATTAAAATTTAACTTTTGTTCCGATCTACACAGTATGAACTTATATGGTATCATAAAGTCTTGCTTGGGTTGGGATTTAATTTTATTTATTATAGGATCCCAAGCAAATGGTAGCACACAGCCATCTTCTCTATTGAAATTGGGATGTATTTTGATTTCAATAGTCCCGCGAATCCTTGGAAGGAATCGGTGTTCTTTAGCGAGAATTTGTGGTCTATCAAATCTGATGTAGTGACGGGGGCGATCCTGGACGTGTTTACATACTGCAGACTTCCCGGAGCGTCGATTCTTCACATCAGCTATATGTTCTTTAACGCGGGTTTTAATTGATATTTTAGTTTGTCCTATGTAGGAGAGACCACATTCACAATCAAGCTTGTACACTCCTGCATCTTGCAGAGGGTTGTTTCACTTGACTGATGGTAAAAACTGACCAATCTTCTTCGGCGGCTTGAAGTATGTTTTGATGGAAGCACGCTTCAAGACGTAGCCAATCTTGTCAGTGACTCCTCTAACATATGTCAGTACAGCAGGTACACGCTCGACTGTGGCCGGCTTCACTGGTTCTCTGTGACGTAGGTGTGGAACCCGAAGCCTGTTGTCATGCAAATCTTACTTGACGTGTTGGAGCTCGGCAGCCAGGTGTTTACTGTCACAGATCCCTCGTGCTCTCTGAAACAAAGATTTACCCACGGTAGCTAACTGTGAAGGATGGTGGTGAGAATCACCGTTTAAATATCTATCTGTATGGGTCTTTTTTCTATACACAGTATGGCTCAAGGTGTTATCAGGATTCTGAATTACTAATACATCTAGAAAAGCTAAGGAATTGTTTGTCTCTAACTCCATTGTGAACTGAATTTTAGAATTTATAGAGTTAAGATGGTCTAAAAATGCAGTTACTTTATCTAAAGGTAGAATTGTGAAAGTGTCGTCTACGTACCGCTTGTAGAATCTTGGATTTATGGGAGAAGTAAGCAGGGCTTTCTCCTCAAAGTCTTCCATGAATATGTCGGCGACAATGGAAGATACAGGTGAGCCCATCGCCACACCATCTACTTGCTTGTAGAACTCCTTCTTCCACAATAGGTAGCCAGATGTAAGGCAGTGTCTGAGTAATACTGCATATTCTACGGGCATGTTGTTTTCTTCCAGCCTTCTAGTTACAATTGAGATGCAGTCTTCAACAGGTAAGCATGTAAACAATGACTGCACATCAAAACTGACCATAGTTTCATTGTCTGCCATATGTAGGTCTTTAATCTCGCTGACAAAATGGTAAGAATCCTTTATGTGTGCTCTTGTATGTCCCCTGAGTGGTGAGAGTATTTTCGCTAAGTGTTGAGCCTAATCTGTAAGTTGGCGAATCGATTTGGCTCACTATGGGACGTAATGGAGCATTGGGATTGTGTATTTTTGGTAACCCATACAACTTTGGTGATTCGGCACACGTAGCTATTATCATTTTTACGTCCAGATTTAATTTTTCGGAGTGTTTCTTTATGAGGTCACTAGTTGTTTTTAGTGTGCTATTTGTTAGGTCGTTTTTAACCTTTTTATAAGTACTTACATCCGACAAAAGTTCTTGTATTTTAGAATTATAATCTGACGTATCCATGACTATCGTAACGTTTCCCTTATCTGCGCGGAGAATCGTAAGTTCTGGTTTATTGCGTAGGTTCTTTAACGCTATAAATTCGTCTTTGGGAAGATTCGGTTTAGACACTGAACATCGACGTAATATAGACGAAATGTCTTGACGTATCGCCTCCAAATCTTCTTTCCGCATATTGTTTTTAAATAAACAGTCCTCAACACTACAGATAATTTCTTCGTACGGTAATCTGCGTGGAGTTACAGCATAATTGAGGCCGTTGGATAAAACCTTAATTGTTGCATCATCCAGTGTTTGTTTTGACAGATTATAGAACGCGATTAATCTATGATCTGTATTTGTCAATGGTTGCTTTTGGTTCTAGCATTGATTTGGATGTTTGACATTTAATTTGGCTGTTAATTTTTGATATTTTTCTATATGTTTGTTTTTGCATTCGTTATATTTACTAATTTCGTTCGTTTATTTAATGTTTCCGTGCAAAAATTATAATCAAACGTCGTTAAAACTTTCTTTATTTCACTGGATGATGTGTCTAGGGATTTATTTATATGTTTAACTTTTTACTCGCCTGATTTAAGATCTTAGCGCTTCCTCGAATGTCCTTTTTGGTGGATATTTTGACACACGTAGGAATGAGATTATGGTCTCGGCATCTCTTCAAGAAATTTAAGGCTGTTAGATATCTTGCGCGCTTAGTCTTTAGATTTTCTAATCGGCGTATTTTATTTGCAATTACCAGTCCGTACTGGTTTACATAATGGTTTCTTATATTTACGCGAACACTACACATTGAAATAATACTAGTTTTTACGGAATTTATCGCGTATATTTAACTTTTTAAATACCCGACGTTTCGAGAGCTTTACAGCACCCATGGTCACTGGAGGGACTGAGATGTTCAACGTCCAGATGTCATAGTTAACCGCGATTACCATAGATTAAAATGTAACTTTTGTTCCGATCTACACAGTATGAACTTATGGTATCATGAATTCTTGCAGTTGTATGCTTGGGTTGGGATTTAATTTTATTTATTTTAGGATCCCAAGCAGATGGTAGCACCCAGCCATCTTCTCTATTGAAATTAGGATGTTTTTTGGTTTCAATAGCCTCGCGAATCATCCTTGGAAGGAATCAGTGTTCTTTAGCGAGGATTTGTGGTCTATCAAATCTGATATAGTGACGGGGGCCATCCTGTACGTGTTCACAGACTGCAGACTTCCCGGAGCGTCGATTCTTCACATCAGCTATATGTTCTTTAACGCGGGTTTTAATTGATCTTTTAGTTTGTCCTATGTAGGAGAGACCACATTCACAATCAAGCTTGTACACTCCTGCATGGTTGAAGACTGCATCTCAATTGTAACTAGAAGGCTGGAAGAAAACAACATGCCCGTAGAATATGCAATATTACTCAGACACTGCCTTACATCTGGTTACCTATTATGGAAGGAGGAGTTCTACAAGCAAGTAGATGGTGTGGCGATGGGCTCACATGTATCTCCCATTGTCGCCGACATATTCATGGAAGACTTTGAGGAGAAAACCCTGCTTACTTTCCCCATAAATCCAAGATTCTACAAGCGGTACGTAGACGTCACTTTCACAATTCTACCTTTAGATAAAGTAACTGCATTTTTAGACCATCTTAACTCTATGAATTCTAAAATTCGGTTCACAATGGAGTAAGAGGCAAACAATTCCTTAGCTTTTCTAGATGTGTTAGTAATTCGGAATACTGATAACACCTTGAGCCATACTGTGTATAGAAAAAAGACCCATACAGATAATATTCCACAATAATAATAATAATATTCCACAACTATCACACAACGCCATCTAGTCCCAAGCTAAGCAGAGCTTGTGTTATGGGTACTAGATAACTGATAAACATCCTTATATATTTCTAAATATATAAATATTATAGATAAATTACACCCAGACACAGAACAAATGATCGTGCTCATCACACAAACATTTGTCCTGGGTGGGAATCGAACCCACGACCTCCGGCTTAGCAGTCACGGTCACTAACCACTAGACCAACAGGCCTGTCAATTAGATAGATATTTAAACGGTGATTCCCACCACCATCCTTCACAGTTAGCTACCGTGGGTAAATCTTTGTTTCAGAGAGCACGAGGGATCTGTGACAGTAAACACCTGGCTGCCGAGCTCCAACACGTCAAGCAAGTTTTGCATGACAACAAGCTTCGGGTTCCGCGCCTACGTACAGAGAACGAGTGAAGCCGGCCACAGTCGAGCGTGTACCTGCTGTACTGCCATATGTTAGAGGAGTCACTGACAAGATTGGCTACGTCTTGAAGCGCGCTTCCATCAAAACATACTTCAAGCTGCCGAAGAAGATTGGTCAGTTTTTACCATCAGTCAAGTGTAACGTCCCTCTGCAAGATGCAGGAGTGTACAAGCTTGATTGTGAATGTGGTCTCTGCTACATAGGACAAACTAAAAGATCAATTAAAACCCGCGTTAAAGAAAATATAGCTGATGTGAAGAATCGACGCTCCGGGAAGTCTGCAGTTTGTGAACACGTACAGGATCGCCCCCGTCACTATATCAGATTTGATAGACCACAAATCCTCGCTAAAGAACACCGATTCCTTCCAAGGATGATTCGCGAGGCTATTGAAATCAAAAAACATCCTAATTTAAATAGAGAAGATGGCTGGGTGCTACCATCTGCTTCGGATCCTATAATAAATAAAATAAATCCCAACCCAAGCATACAACTGCAAGACTTCATGATACCATATAAGTTCATACTGTGTAGATCGGAACAAAAGTAAAATTTTAATCTATGGTAACCGTGGTTAATTATGACATCTGGACGTTGAACACCTCAGTCCTTCCCGTGACCATGGGTGCTGTAAAGTTCTCGAAACATCGGTTATTTAAAAAGTTAAATATACGCGATAAATTCCGTAAAAACTAGTATTATTTCAATGTGTAGTGTTCGCGTAAATATAAGAAACCAGAACATATAATTACTTTATTATTTTCAGTCATCTTTTATATATACATATTTTATAATGCACTTGTAATTTTGCCATACTAATAGTTAGAAAACTCTGTATAAAAATCTGTATACAGTGCTAATCTGTATCACACACCGAAAATCTGTATAAATATGGGGAAATCTATATATATATGGCAACACTGCCCTATTAGCAGTATAAAGGGTCTCCCGTACTCTACACTCACCATACGAAACACAGAATCATTATGCTGCTACTTAACGCTGGTACTCTGTGCGCGCGTGGTCCTGCCGCAAGTTGTCTCTAACACGTTAAAACAAAAGTCTTAACAGTAGAACAAAAAAGTATAAATTAGATTTATTTCTACTTTTTACCTTATATTTTATATTATATTTTGCTAAGATTTTGCATAGGTACTATCGCCGAATAGCAGCGCATGAACTGCTGTGCTTCGGTCTGAAGGAGACACGAGTGCCAGCTAACCATATTTACAGGCTGCGAGGCTTTCTTAGTCTACAAAGATGGCAACACATATACATTACGTTGGCTCACAGCAATGAAAATGTTAATGAAATTGAGTCTAATATATTATGAAATATTACGAAATATCGCAATTGATCAATGTAGTTAGTGATTACCAAAAATATAAGAAAAGATTTTAGTTCTATGTATTTGATATTTTAGTATATTAATTGTAGAAAATCTATATAAAAAAGTTTTTTTTGTCCAAAGTTATAGGAGAGTGTGCGCAGGAATTGCATAATTTAATTCCTTCCTTTCCCCTCCACTATTGGACAACAAGAAAACTAGACGTTCGGCCTTTAGGCCAGTCTCCACACCTTTATTGATTTACCACGCATTTGAACTAAACGGTTTGCTTGTTTATCATACATACAGCAAAGGAGTGGAATAAGTTGCCAGCATCTGCCTTTCCATCCGATTACAATGTGGATATCTTCGAGGCAAGAGTGAATAGGTTTTTGTTAAGTCAGTGCACTTCACCATCTTAGGCTACATCACCACTGACCGTCGGGTGGGATTGTAGCTAAGTGCTGGCTTAGAATTAAAAAGAATTCATAGTGTCGACGGAGACAGGAAGTAAAGTAGTAGTAGTTAGCTAAATAAAAAGTATATTGAAAATGTAAGAACTCCTAAATAACGATGAATTTACTACATTGATATGATCATAATATATACGAGTTTAGATGCCTTTGACAGAAAACTGCTGACTTAGCGGTCAGCCGCTAAGTCAGCAGTTTTCTGTCAAAGGCAGCCGCTTAGAGTCTACATCACCTGAAGATGCCTTGTGTAGAGGCGAAACACGTGTCGTATTATCGTCGATGGCGTGTCTTTCCTAGAATAATGGTTTTGGGAGTAGTGGTGACGGGAATAGTGCACGCAATTGATGGCGGGACGTTCTTTTAAGGCTAGGGAAGACATCATTTTATATAATTAAGCGGATGGTTGCAAAGTAACTATTAATATATTTATTATAATGGATTTCCGCAAAGTAACGCCTGATTCTATCAATTATCTTAATATAAAAATAAATTTGAAAAAAAAGGCGTGTACCCTATTTTAAACCTTTTTTGTCTTTAATCGATTTTCAAAAATAGTGCTTAAATATACTTAGGCGTCTTAAGACATCGCCTCCCTCCAAAAAACATTGTTATGTGGCGCATCAACATATTGTTTAGAAATTTGTGAAAACATATTTATATTTCATACTGTGTTATCATTTTATTAAGCCAAAATTGTTTTGATAAAGTTAAGGTTATTATAATTCAAAAGAGTACATGATTGATAATAACCCCTGATAATGAGGTGATCGCCACCATGTTGTTTTTTTAATTTATTTATGTACACACATCAAGATACAGAAGCAGTCCTATCGTAAGTTCGTACAAAGGTTCTACTAATTCCATAATTTGCAAAAATATCTTCCAGTAGACCCATAAAGAAAATTATATTTAAATAAATAATATACAAAATTTATATAAAATAAAACAATAAATAAAAATAATAAATACGATAGTTAGGTATATATGATATATATAAACTAATACCAACTAATATTATAGAATAATATATAGATACTAATTAACAGGATGCAAAGAAGTTATCTCTAAGACGTTTCTATACCAAAAAAGTTTCGGAATTTCTTATGATATATTAGACGGCAGTGAGTTCCATCACCTTACCGCGTGAACTGAAAAGAACAGTTTCTAAATGTTTTCGTACATAATTGCATTAAATCATGAAATCACCAGGACAAAGTTTGTTTTTGGACTTGCGATAAAAGTATAAATGACTGTCAGTAACTTCGATGGCTCTGTGGCACACAGTGTCTTAGCAATGTTTTGCATCGCTATGAGAAGTGGGTTTGAATCCCGCACGGAACGTGTATTTGTATGGCCTATAATTAATAGTTGTTTTGGGTCTGGATGTTTATCCTTGTGAAATGTATCCTTGTGTATGTAAATGTAATGTATATTTAAATACATTTTTACTCTCCCCATTATACAGGAGAAACTCCTAGACGTTTACTGTAAAGAATAAAAATTATTCTGTTCTTGTCCATATTTTTCAGATGTAGAGGAAGGTTATCCCGAAGAACGGGATAATCTGCAGCCATTGTTAAGCATTAACAATTTTCATGGCGAGAGTAGCCGACCGCAGCCGGACAGGCCTCAGCAGTTAGGTGTCCCAAATAAAATGTAAGACTTTACTTTCAGGAATTAATTGAACTACATAATCTACTAGGTATTAGGAATCCTTCTCTCGCTAGGAGTCCCTCTGGGTAGCTACCAGACTATTAATTATTTCTACCGCCAAATATCAGAACTTGCACTACTGTGTTCTGATCTGAAGAGTATAGATAACCTGTGCAATTACAGGCTGTGAGGTATTCCAATTGAGTCAAGAACGGTGACAACCCATCTGTAGCGCCTTTGTTTGAAGTTGGCCACAGGTGTCTACGGACTAATAATGTCCTCTAGAATTTCGGTTTACGATCACGGCGGCCAGTTTCAACAGAGACTAGCCAGGATAGGGTTATAGTGCCTAAGTGTATGCGCAAGCACAGGTGCACTCTTTATACCCGCACTCTCATAGTTCGATGGGAATACAATACGATTGAAGAGAGATCAGGTGCAGGAGCAATGACTCCTGACTCCTGGCAGCTACTGAGAATTTCTTGACATAAAAGCTCAGTAACTGATTTTTGTGACCCAAACCGGCTCTAAATACAAACCCTCATAATCAGCAGTCACGTTCTACTATTATACTACTATTATATATATATATATATATATATATATATATATATATATATATACAGAGTGTTAGTGTAAACACCGTTATCCTTGAAACCAGTGGTTTGTTTTCACTTATAGAACGTAAATTCAATGAATTTAAAAAAAGACGCTATTTTCTTCCATAAAATTTAAAAAGTTTCTGTCCGACACCGTCCGTAAATTCATGGATACCCTATGCGCCCGAGTGACGTAATCACTGTAAAGATCACCGCCCGCGCTAACTACCTACAGAACATTTCAATAAAAACACAATAGGTACACATAACCTGTGTATAATCCTTTATACTTCCATCCTGGCTTATGACAGGCAAAAATTGAGGAATTAAGGAAAAATTGAGATTTTACTAAAAAAAATGTTGTTATTTTTCTTTGAATTTACGTTCTGTAAGTGAAACCAAACCACTGGTTTCAAGGACAACGGTGTTTACGCTAACACCCTGTATATATATAATAAGGTTGACTGTAAGTTCATTAGCCACTTCACCTTTGACATCATCATCATCATTACTAGCTAAACCGTTGGGCTATGTCCACTACTCTGGTTATTCTACGGATGTCCTCTGAACCTCCAACTATTTGCCTGCACCATAATTTGCTGAGCCATCTTAAACTTCCTCATAAAATCAGTGAATGAGTAGTGAAGTCCATGTTTCACTAGCAACACGCACTAAATGTACACACTTGTTATTTCCACGACTTAAGGAATTCGTGAAGATTAGCAATTAATTAAAAAGTATTACTGATGAGATGGACTAATTTATTTTAAAATTTTTGATAGGGGTACTTATTTTAAGCTTTGTTTTTATTATAGAACAAGAATAACAAACAAGAATAGAGTCCATTTGATGGTGAATGCCATAGAATAATATAATACATAGAGTGAATGATGTTGCTGTGACTTATGACTCCTACATATATTTACAATAAAGAATCAAAATTTAAATGCATTGTTCGCCTGAGGACTTAGATGGAATGCCTCGTAACCAGTGAATAGAATCTCCGGTTTTTTTATACTCATCAAGAATTTTAGCTGCTGTTTTACGCTGGTATATATATATATATATATATATATATATATATATATATATATATTTTTATTAAACAACTATTTGTAAATACTTAACTTTACATCTTTTTTTAATTTTTTTACAATTATTTGTATGCATATAAATTGATACACAATTAAATAAATGTAACAAATAAAACACTTTTTAATGTTTATAGGGAGCGTTCGTCTAGTTCAGACATACCGGAGTTAAATTTTTATGATCAATCATCTTCGGTAGCGTCTACACCAGACTTGACACCAGCTGCTGATAATGAGGACTTATGGCCAAAAAAGTGGAGACGCAGCGACCGCCGTCTAAACAGACTAAACACTGAACTTCTAGAAGCGATCGAAAACCATGAAATAGAAGAGATAGAGAGGTAAGTGTCTGTAAACTTAATAGAAGACTATTCTAAAGTTGTTATTAAAATAACCGCGTTCCATTTTTGAATATAAATCGGTAAAATCCGTAATTGTTAAGATGTTGTTATAAAGACAGTTCTATTTCAGTATTTTTTAATTAATATTGGAGATACAAAGGAACTTACTCTCCACGTGATGGCAAGTTTTAACACGTCTCTTCCGGTACTCCAACATCCTAGGTGTAGTCCCGAAATCATGGAAGACAGCTTTCGTGCACTAAAAAAGGTAACCGTTCTGATCCGTCCAAATATAGGCCTATCGCTATTATTCTCGTTTGTTCTCTAAAATAATGGAGTCAGATTCAGTCAATTAACAGCCAGCTCATTCGATACCTTGAGGATCACCAGCTGATTAGTGAGCGCCAGTACGGTTTCCGTCGGGGTCGCTCGGCTGCTGACTTAACACATAAATAGGAGGATGGACTCCTCCTATGTATGTGGAAGGCGGAAGGAGGAGGAGGAAGGAAGGCGTTAACCGTTAGTTTGTACATATCGAAGGCCTTTGATCGCGTTTGCCACAAAGCGCTTCTTACTAAGCTTTCTTCCTATGTACTTTCCGAAAAAATGTGCAATTGGATCACCAGTTTTTTTGCAGTTCGGAGCATCAAGGTCGTAGTAGACGGTGCATGCTCCAATTACAAGCCCATCAACTCTAGTGTTCCACAAGGCTGCGTGCTATCACCAACGCTGTTTGTTCTGTATATCAATTATATGTTAGAAATCGGTAACATTCATTGCTATGGAGACGACAGCGCTTGTGATGCTTTATACACAAGCCGTGCCCACATTTCTCTGGTAAACGTCGCCGAGTATCGAGATAAACTTGTGTTCGTAGTCGAGAAGTTCCGAGAGTTCTTAGTTATGTATAAACGTAGACGTCTATGGGCTACAGCATCCACTTACTATCAGGCGGACTGTGTGTTTGTCACTCTTATTTTATAAAAAAAGCCCAACAAACTTGTGTTGTCAGTGTTTCTATTCGGATTCCAACTGAGGACCCGCAATTTGATAGTTGGGTATTTTAAGTACTTCAACTTGTGGCACACACCATATCCGAATACTTATGATCCCACATACCTATCGGTTAACCTTTCCTTACCCATGCTCGATACCTGTTATGGCCGATTTATTATACATTTTACTTACATCACATGGGACTGCAGTTCTTAAGAGCTTTTTCTTGGTTGCATCATTAAATTAACCATCATGAAAATGTTTTTCACACAGCATTCTGGGCACATTATGTAGCTTCGTCTGGAAAACTAAAGTAGTATACTGCTCTTGGGAAGGAATTTAATATTTCGCCCACAATTTACAGCTGAAAACAAAAGACATAATTATTAAATACAAATGTTATCAAAGTAGTTAGTTTGATTGTTTCTCTTTAACCATTTAAACCAATAATTTGTTTTTAAATGGTCAAAGAGAAACAATCTTTCATTATAAGTTGGACAAGATATTTACTTTAAGGTTAGAACTTATTAAATAGTGTATATCTACAATATGTAACGTAATTAACGCACACCCTCGGACATCCCAGTTAGTATATTATGTTATAATCATAATACATACACTGAATTTTTGGTTAAACATTTTTATGCACTGATTATTTATCAAATTAGTTATACTAATTCCGGAAGAATGCTGTAGTCACAGTACAAATCCACGATCGCAAAGACTTTAACATGCTTGAAATAAAGTTCATTTTTCTTTATTTTTATTGAATGACAGAATTAGTAATAATACAAATAAAACTGCACTCTTAAAAGTCTTATTGCCTTAAGTTACGGTCCATTTCAGTTTGTTTTGACTACAGATTTAGTGTGACTGTAATTTACGTAGTTTTAATTATTTTCGGGATAAAAAATTACTTATATTAAAAATGATAGGAATCGATTCAGTAAACGATTCTAAACAAAGTACGTTAATTATGTTACATGTTGTATATTGTATACGTACCGCAAAATATACTTTACTGCGGGTTTCGGAAACCTAAATAATTTATGTTGTCAACGGTTGGTGAGCAGTTGCACTTAGAACACTTTTTCTATTTTCTTTATCCGCCACTGCAGCGTAATTTTTAGTTACTATTTCTTATTTCACTACGAATCATTGACTAACACATTGCACATCATACAAACGAAAGACATTAATCTCAACTCAACGTCGTAAACTTGCAAAGTTTAAGAAAAAGACACAAGCAAAACAAACGCAACAACCAATCATGAACAATAATAATTTATACGTCGGCGCCATATTATAAAAATTGTATACTCATATAGATGTTTTGGTGCTACCAGAAAATATATAATTTTCTACTCATGGAAAATCAAAACAAAAAGAAAACATTTATTTTTCTTTTACTGTCAATGATATGCTAATATAATAACGTAGAAAAATACGACAGGCATACTTATCTTCCTATGTATTATTATTTCTATATTCAAAATTTCAGAGTGTAATTTATCTTTAGCAAAATCTAACTAATTATGAAACAAGACATTTATCTGACAAATAGCAATAATGAAATTCAGCCCCCGTAGGTATTTCATTCTGTTCATACAGAGTTGACCGGGCCTGGCACTGACACACTGGGGAGGATGGGGGTGGGGGCTAGTCGGGGGAAGGCTCGGTATAATAGTTATAATATAGTTTGTACGCTTTATTACGCCGTGCCATTACAAAGGACTTGCCGACTTGTGCTGAAAGACGAAAGTCAGTCATTTAAAGAAACGACGTGATTTTATGAGGGCGCAAAAAGTCGTCGCTGGGGCACGTGCGCCCGCGGTCACAGCTTTGACACAGACTTTTTTTGGGCTCAGACCCCTGGTATAGACGATACATGTTAGAACTTTCACTGTCCAATTTTCAGACACAATAGTAAGACAATAGCAATGAACTCTATGTAGTACACAGGACAGCAAACGTGTTAATTATTAGTTGAAATTTATTGTATGAAACAGACAAGAAATTTGTACGGTGTATAAGGACCTTAAACTTGAATAAATCTTTTACTTTCAGATTGCTAAAAGATGGTGCCAACTCGAATGCAACATGTCGCTTGGATCTAGTTTCTGCATGTCATCTAGCCGCACTGACTGGTGGAGATGCCTTGAGCTTGCTACTCAAGTTCGGAGCCGAGAAGAACCGGCTCGACAGACTCGGACGGACACCTTTACATCTTGCTGCGTTCGCTGGCAATGCAAGACAGGTGGCCATTTTACTGGACTTACCTGAAGGTATTTTTTTTGTAGTATAAAAGGTGACAAACGAGCACACAATTCACCTAGTTCTTTGTATTTCGTATAGCAAGTATAGTGAAGCGGAGACTCATTTTACTGGAAACGAGGCATTCCATCTTACAATTGGGGTAGAAACGCATCTTGCTTTCTTAATTCTTATTCGAGGAGAGACATAGTTGCCTATGGGCTACACTATTATACGTACCGTTATAATAGATTCTGTACTCGTTGGTAAAACATTATAAAATAAAAAAAAATTTACACAGGTTATAAAAATATCAGACATTTTAACATTTGCAATAACCTTTAAAATCCATTTTATATGTAAATAAAATAATAAATACAGAATTTGAAAAATATATAGGTACGTGTTCGTTTGTGAAATTTTTATAAATAAAAAATGAAACAGATAAATATTAATTGGAACAGGCGTTTCATCATGTGCAATAACCCTTATTTACATTCGTGTCATCACAAAAAAAAAGAATTAAAAAAGTTTTTTTAAGTTTGTGTTGTAACACTTAAAGCGGTATCAGCAATTATGGATTTATATCACCATCTGTTACAGCCTATAAAAGCCCACGACTTAACAGAGGCGTCCTCCATAAATTTTGACATAGTTGCCACGCTTTGCAGTCAAATTGAAAAGAGCGATAGTAAAAGAAAATGGATTACAAGTAAAATATTCCAATATATTTTTTAATTCATAGAATTAGTGACGTCTCATAACGACAATTAAATGGAATTCACTGTCAGGAACTACTACTGCTTCAGTTTTCTTCGAGACCAACCTCAGGACCACGAGCTCATCTGTCACATCCTGAAATAAATTAAACTGTTGTAATAATAATTAATGATTAAATAAAAAGTATAGGCACAGAACAAGTTTTACATGTTTAAAACATTGTCTGTGACCTTGTTTGTTCGAAATTTCAAGTGTCTATGGACTGCATAAACTATTTAATTAAGCATGGTCCATACTACTATGTTACTTCTTAACAACTCCGTGGCGCAGTGGCTTAGCAATGAGTGGCTACGCTGGGGGTTGCGGGTTCGAATCCCGCACGGAACAAGTATTTGTATGGCCTACAAGTAATTGTACCGGGTCTGGATGTTTGTCCTTGTGCAATTTATGTTTGTAAACTGCCCCCACGATACAGGAGAAAATCCTAGTGTAGGGGTAACGTTTAAAAAAAAACTTATACGGTAGAACCACGCTACAGCTATATTATAGTTGTAGCATGAATGGTTATGTGGCAGAGTCACGCTGCAGTTATATTGTGGTTGTAGCATGAATAAGTCGGCTCGACCAGGCTGGGACCACGATCTCACAGAATACTAGCGTAAAATAGTAGCTGTAAGCCGCTGTTTTTCGTATGGTGACTATCGAGAACCCGTTTTAGTGGAAATAGGGCATTCCATCTTAGTCCTTACGGGTGACAACGCATCCTAATTTTTATTTGTAATCGAGGATTGATATAGAACTGTGAATAAAGCATCCACTTACCGCCAGGGGGACTGTGTGCTCGTTTGTCACCCTTATGTTGTTAACTTTCGTTTCACTACACCGGCTGTTACGTATATTTTATGTTTTATATTAAATCTAGTTTTAAGCTACCGGTTCATCCTTATATTTGATCAATTTTTCTCAAATTATTCACGAAAAGATAGTTCTGGGTTAATCTTATACACACACAAACTTAACACACAACTCACTATACTATCCATAACATACACTTGCACAGAAATACACAACAATAAAGAATTAAAGCTATTTTCACGAATTAATAACATTCCCACTCTTGCAGCTGTAGGTATCTTCAAAAATAGAACAACATTATCTTCTATCTTAATATTTATGTTAATAAGACATGGATTTACTTAATATTACCAATGATATAGACGAATCACTGGCTATAGACTGTCGTAGTATGGACTCCTTGGAAAAATGCAAGAGTATTCTTAATAATAATAAGAAAGTCTAAAAGTTCTGACATTCAATGTACGAAGTTATCAACGTAATTTTGATAATTTCGAACTAGCTCTTAAACGCTTAGACCTGGATATCGATATTATTGTATTGACGGAATGTTGGCTATATGACGGTATCATTATTGAACCACTGGAGGGTTAAAAAACCTATCAATCCTTATCACAAATCAACAAAAGCGGTGGGATCGTCGTATACGTCAAACACTCATGGAATAGTGAAACTGCACCTCAAAAACAAAAATTGGATGATGCTGATAGTCTCCTCATAAATATAAATAACGACATCACAGTCTTGGGGATTTACCGCTCCCTTTCCTTTTCAAATACAGATCGATTTGAGAGTACAATATCTAAAGAGATATTGTACTCTCTGACATACAATGTAAACGAACTCTCGTAATTGCAGGCGATATTAATATTAACATAAACGATCCAATTAATGCACAAGTGGGCAACTATTTATGCTTGATGGCATCTCATGGTCTATATCCAGCGATATAGACCATGAGATGCCAACTAGAGGAGCCTCATGCCTTGACCACATCTTCATAAAATCTGAGACAATATCCTCTGGTCTCGTCTGCAAATCATCTATTACAGATCATGACTTAGCCCTAGCTGAAATTACTTTGCAAATCTACCAGCATAAAAGTAAAAAAACGCACGATACGGAAAACAGACTGGGAGACGGTTGCCTTATATATTAACAGTCTGAATTGGAACGAAATAACAAGCGATAATGATGTTAACACCGCCTCACACAAATTTAACGATGTTATGACATACGCCATCAATAATTACACGCGGAAAATTAAAGTAGGTCGTAGAAAGAGCCACATAAAGAGCTGGATCACTCCTGGATTAATAAGATGCATGAAATACAGGGACAAGCTGCACCTTGAGTGTAGAGCTGATCTGAATAAGCAACGTAAATTACTGATCTACACGCGGTATAGAAACTTTTTTCACACTCTACTAAGGAATATTAAAGCTGAATATAACAGAAAGGAAATTACGAAAAACAAAGACAATGCGCGTAGCCTTTGGAATGAAATTAAAAGTCTGTGCTATAATTCTACGTTGGAGTACTACTCCATGAAATTCATTAAGGATCTGAACAACCAAATTTCATCCCTAGACCAATGTAATCACCATTTCGCAACCGTAGGGGAGGTCTTCGCTAAAAAAAATCTTAAAAAACCTAGGCACGGCTCAAGACCTACTAATCAAGAATCACAGATGTTCAAAATCTAACCCAAACTCTTTCTATCTGCACCCTACTGATGAACAAGAAGTGAGCTGAATTATTTATAGCCTAAAAACTAACAGTTCTCCAGGATTAGACTATGTCACTGTTACACTGCTTAAAAAGACCTGCAATAACATTATTATTCCCCTCGTTCATATATTTAATTTAGGCTTAGAAATGGGAGTTTTTCCAGATTCCTGGAAAACTGCAGTAGTGTCACCTATTTTCAAAAATGGTTCTCCGACCTTGCCTGAAAATTACAGACCAATCTCTTTACTGAGTATAGTATCGAAAATTCTAGAGAAGATAGTGATTAAGCAACTTTTCCGTTTTCTACATAAAAATCGGATAATCTCAGATAAACAATATGGGTTTCGTCAGGGAAAATCGACCGAGGATGCTGTAGCAGCTCTAGCTGATCAGATATCACAACACGTGGAGAATGGTCAACGTTGCATAGGTGTTTTTCTCGACCTGTCGCGAGCTTTTGACACAGTCTCTGTTGGCCTCCTCTTGAAAAAACTAGAAGCCGCTGAAGTAAGGGGAAATACACTTTTATGGTTTGAAACTTACCTAAAAATGAGAAAACAATGTGTAAAAGTACGAAATTACACTAGTAGGCAATTGGATGTTCATTTTGGCGTTCCGCAAGGCAGTACCCTTGCACCCACTTCATCCTGTACATGAATGATATCCTGGAACAAAAATTGCCTAATTCAAATGTAATTGCTAACGCAGATGATACAACCATATTATTTCACGATACGACATAGAGTCGAGTATACAGTACCGCGGAACGAGGCCTATCTCGTATTGCTATGTCCTTAAACTTAAATCTTCTTACACTAAATAAGGAAAAGACTACATACATATGCTTTTATAAATCGAGACGCACAAGTCCTCCGACCGCTACGCCCTTGAAAATTCATTACTGCAAAAATGATTATACCAATCTGCATGGCTGCAACTGTGAAGCGATAGCGCGCTCTAGAATAACCAAATATCTTGGAATTATCATAGATGAAAACCTAACGTTTGATGCTCAAATTTCTAATTTGTCTTCCCGTGTACAAAAGTTCATTTACATCATGAAAAAATTGCGAGTTTGCACTCCCGTAGATATAATACGTCAGGTATACTTTGCACTCTGCCAATCTATACCGCAGTATTGCATTTGTGTTTGGGGCCGCGCTGGGAGGACTGCACTTATGACATTGGAAAGGGCTCAACGTGCACTAATTAAAGTAATCCTAAGTAAGCCATTTACATACTCCACAGATTCTCTATATAAAGAATTTAAAGTACTACGGGTGCGACAGCTGTTTATTTACAATGTCACACTCAAAGTGCACAAAACTGTAAGATGTCGCCCGGACTACAATTAATTAAGAAGCAAACGCACCTTTAGAATCCCCGTTCCAATCGTAAAGTCAAACCTGGCCAAAAGTTGCCCCACCTTTTAACATCCTTTCATCTACAACAAAATATTAAAAATAATTGACCTTAAAGACCAGCCACTTTCCTCATGTAAAACCATATTAAAAAACATGCTGTACACTCTTTCATATAATGACAGTGAAGAACTAATTAAATAGCACATAAGATACACACACACACACACACACACACACACACACACACACACACACACACACACACACACACACACACACACACACACAAAACCAGAACCGGACGCAATCACTCCTATTCCAACTATTGCGGAATCATCTCTTGCAGGCGCTATTATTTATTT